TGGTATTGTATATTGCGTATGTATTGTATGTATTGTATGTAGTATAATGTATATCTGATATAGATAGTATATGTAGCGTCTGTGATGTACATAATGTATGAATGTATGCATAAAGCATATAGATTCAGCCAAGCAATTTTTTAACTCTCTTTGGTAAACGAAAAAGTTTGAAACAATTTTGAAAAAACAAATACATTTCCAATAGCCCGGTATCTAATGACCATGTACCTTCTTACTTAGCTTAGCGTTAAGGGTCATCTTACTTAGCTTAGCGTTAAGGGTCATCTTACTTAGCTTAGCGTTAAGGTTTATCTTACTTAGCTTAGCGTTAAGAGCATCTTACGTACTTAGCTTAGCGTTAAGGCCAAACATTTTTTAATTGGCGTTAGCAAATAAAAAAAAAATTTCAAGATTAAAAGTAAGAACGAATTTATATACGTATTATTATTATTATTATTATTAATTTTTTTTTTATTAATACTGTAATATCGATATTGAATTTGTTTTTTTTAATCAACAATTTATCGATCAAAAATCAAATAAAATGGGGTTTGATATTTTTTTGATATATTTTTTTTTTTTTTTTGCAAAAGAAAAAAAAAAAAAGGATAATCTTTACAATAAAAAAAAAGGATAATCTTTACAATTTAAAAAAAAAAAAAATGCAACATTATGAAACATTATATGAATTTGATTTTGATTTTGAATTCTTTAAATTGATTGATGAAGGCAACTCAAAAACAAAAAAAGAAGTAAATTAATTAACATTCTTACGTATCTTAATAATAACCATACGTATGAAAAAAAAAACTACCCTCGACCAAAAAATTTTTGGCAACTAATATATAAAAATATTTACAACGAATAAAAAAAAATTGTATAAAAAAAATCAACCAATTGAAATATTACATGGCGTTATTTTTTTAGATATTTAGTAACTAAATCGTTAATAGTAATTGCTTATCAACATTAATTATTACCTTACAACAAAAGTAGTTTTAAAAAAAAAAAATCATGTGGGAAACTTTACATCCCATTAATAAAGAATATAAAGAATAAAATGGCACAATATTATCGCCAAGAAAAAAAAACAAAAGGAATGTTGCCTTCTATTAGGAGAATGTAAAAGAAAAAAAATAATAAAATAAAAGTGCAAAAGATATAGTACAAAATTTTGGTATCGAGGGGAGGGTTATACGTTATATTTGAAATTTAAGTTTTAAAATCAGTTATTACCAAAACCATTATAATGCATGACACCTAATACCCAAGAATCAAGAATCATAAGAATCATAAGAATCATAAGGATCAAGATTCATTATGATATTCCTAAAGCCTGCCTGTTACTTTGTATGAAATCTTCCACATTTTTATCACTAAGCCGAAATTTCCCCAAAACTTTAAGGAAACATCTTTCCGCCTTATTAATTTCACTTATCGAAAAAATGCCGGAACTTTCGGCAATTTTTTGATTTATGAGGTCTAAAGAATGTTCATTATTGTTAAATTGATGATGATGATTATTAAATTGATGATTATTTAATTGACTATTAAATTGGTGATTGTTAAATTGATGATTGTTAAATTGGTGGTTATTAAATTGGTTATTAAATTGTTGCGAATGTATTTCCTCATAATCTTCGATTGAAGCGTTTGATGAAACAGTTGATGAGACGGAAGATGGAGTTGTTGAAAATAATGATGAATTATTTGAATCAGGCAAGTTTTCTTGTTCATTAACAGGTGATGCATATGAAGATTTTGGTAAATCTTCTTCAGAAAGAGATGGTGAAGAATCGTAAGGACAAGTTCCTGTCGGATATTTGGAGGCAACAATAATAGCGGATAAAAATATTTTGTGACATGTTCCTATAAAATAAATATTAGGATAAACAAGGTTAATAATAATGATTAATATACTAATTAATATTATATATATATATGCTAATAAAATGCTAATAATAATGCTAATAATAATGCTAATAATAATGCTAATACGTAATAATGCAAATAATATAATTCTAATAATAATTAATAATAATAATAATTCTAATAATAATTATTAATAATAATTACTAAACTATTTCCAACGTTAACTAATACTATTTTAGTTTAGGGGCATATTATTTAGGCGTGCATATAATGGGTCGCATGACAACATAAATTATCCAATAAGATTATTGATAATCACACATGTGAGATGTTACTAAAATATTAATAAAATGTGTAACGGATATTCGGTGATCCGCGGATATAACCGCGGATATTGGATAATATCTCAGATATTATCTCAAATATCTCGAATATTATATCGGATATCTCGGATATTATCTCGGATATTATCACGAATATTATCGGACCATCAACCAACCACATAACCAAGATGTAACCAATATGTAACCAAGATGTACCATAAACCAAAGATGTACCAAAGATGTACGAAAGATGCATCTGATTATTAAATCATCTGAACTATCGGAATGACCACGAGACCAAAAATACATCATATGACACGACCAAATAATAATGGACAATGAAAACAATGTTAAAAATGTTAAAAAGAAATAAAGATAATTACCATATTCTCCTAGTAATTTATAATTACTATATTCTCCTTGTAATTTGT